TATATATATATATATTGAGGCACTTAGTTAGAACAAAACCATGACATGCTCATTGAATTAAACAATATATCAAATGCACTAATCATAACAATGCCAATGAACAAAATATTAACATTAGAAGAAAGGCTTAAATTATTCTTATCATTTATCATTAACTAAGGAGCTCGTTTCAATATAGGAATGACAACAATGAATAAGTTTTAGTACGTAATATAATTTAAAAAAATACACGTACTTACTCTCACACTTGCATGATGATAAAGAAAATTAAACCTAAAATCTCATGCATCTACCCTAAGATGATGGTTATAGTGGTGGTAGCTTACAAATTGAGGTAATAGTTAAGGATTGGTGGTTTGGGAGTTGAAGTTTTAAGTGTGGTGGTTTGTGAATTTTTGCCGAAAAAAAAACACTATCAATTTTTTACCATGTTTTTTTAAATTATTGTTTATTTGTGTCAGTTTAAGTAATTATTTAACCATCAATTTTAAACTTTAGCTATTTCTTACTATTCATACCAATTTGCAATAAACTAAACATGCATAATTCCAAGGCTATTGCTTAACCGACAATAAAAGTGAGATTTATGGAAAAAATTTTGGTCATTAGAACATACAATAAAGTTTTGATTATTTTTCTTGTAATGATCATAATCCCGGTTATAATAAATAATACGGTGAAGAAAAAGAGATATAGAGAAACGAAAGACATAAAAATGAGGTGAGTGTAAAAGTTAAGTATATAAAAATGTCAAGCTGGATATTCTTATTATTTGTTAAAAAAATGTTAATATACATGAGGCGAAGAAAATGAATGAATTAATGAAATAGACAACTTAAGACTAAATTCAAGCTGTGAATGAGTTGAAAAGAATAAATTAAGGTGGCTTTATTGTTTAAATTTTTTTTTCCTTGAAACGATCCCACAATTTCAGTACCAAGAACCGGGTGAAGTGAAGCTCAAAAGTTGCTCTAGATATTCCGGACCCAAATCCTCCAACACCAACACATTCTGAGTAGTGTCAAACTTCCCATTTTTGCAAGCCCTTTTAACCTTTTTATCACCACTCCTACTAACCCTAGATTTTGTTCTCATCACGTGCATCCTTTTGAGTTCCAACAAGGGTGAGCGATCACTTTTCATAGCCTTAAAACCCATCTCTTGAAGAGACTCCATGGCCACTTGTGCTGAAAAGTTAAGGGTAGCCAGAACACCCCTTGTTAAGAATGCTGCTTGATCATAAGCCAAAGCAGCTTCTTCAGCAGTGTCAAATGTTCCAATCCATACCCTAACACCATTTCTAGTGGGGTCCCTTATTTCTGCTGCGAATTTTCCCCATGGCCTTCTTCTTACCCCTCTATAGGGTCTCTTCTCTCGCTTACATGTTGTTGTTGAGGCCATTGATAGTGGTTGTGGATTTGACCCATCACATGTAATATCCAAGTTGTGCTCTTGTACCTTCATTATTCCTCCACCCCTTACATTCAAGGGAGGGTTGTTGAACGAAAACAACTCTTCCCATGAAATGAAATTGGATTCTACACTTTGGTACGAAAATATAGAAGGATTAAAATCCATTCTAAGATGAAAAATATGAATGTATGTGTGTTTATGTTTTTTTACTTCCGACGTAGAAAATTGGAGTGCCTTGAACTTTATATATCCGCTGAAAAGAGAAGGAAGTCGTATAGGATTTTTGCTTGTGAGGTGAATTAACAAATGGATTGTAAAATAAAGATGTTCAAATGGGGAGTGAATTAATTAAAGAAAGGTTTAGTTGCGAATATTGGATAGGGAGGATGTCTTTGGATTTTTAATTATACCAAGATGGTGTTAATTAAAATATATAAATGGTTGGACCTAGTCCTGGATCATTTAATGTTTGTATAGTACTATAATTTGGTTTGCGCACGTGAGTCAAATAACGCAATTTCAAAGGATTGAACATTGAAGTAATAATCCAATCGTAGACCAAGGTTGGACGATTTGGTGAACCACGCGCGCCTCCCCCTTAACGCAGAATTTTCCCTCTGTTGGTGCATGACATGGCTACGATTATTTAATTTCAATAATTTGTTGCACAACCACACCCCATAGGTTGCCCATTTCCTTTACTATTATCATCTAACATATATTAATATATAATTTTGTGTGGTTCAAATTAATTTTAATACATATCTTAATCATGAGTCATAATTTAAAATAAATTTTATTAAAATGGAAAAATAAACAAATAGTATAATATTAGTTGAAAATATTACGTCTTCCATAGATATACTTACCATTATTTTAATTTTCTGTATTAAATTTGAATGATTACAAAATAAAGAATAATTAATAAAAATGGCAATAAAAAAGATATTGACATCTATCATGAATAGAGAATTGACTTCTGCTTCAAAGAGCTCCAGCTCATTTTCGTTCATCCACTTCTACCACAAAATTTTCTCCCTCAAACTATGCTTTTGTTTAGTCCACTTCTCTGTGTTTCCATTTCTAATTCAGGAACTGAAGCTTCTTGCAGTCCATGAATGGCAAAAGGGTTTGATCGAAACGGATCCTTTGGCGTTGTGCTATTTTGAGTTTACAACGATCATTCGTTGATTCAGATTTTGATCCTTCACTTTACTTAAAAACTAGATGTTATATAAAGCAATCTGTGGGAGGTTTTTCGTTCATGGTCCCTTCTTGGCCCTTTTGCAATTGAGCGATGAGAATTTTTTATTTTAAAGATTTAGTGCTTAGTTTCTTGAAGATTCTATTGGATATATCGAGTTCGGTTAAGCCTTAATTTGGATGTTCCATTATTGGTGTTTTCCAATCTTGCTCAAGACCCTTCGATTGCATGGGTGTAATTTTGCATCAACATTGTGTTATAATGAAGCTCACGAGATCTTTGATTGCTTGATGGCTTTTTTTTTTTTTTTTTTTTTTCTTTCCTTTTTTCTATTGTGATTGTTGTTGCTATTTGATTCTCCTATGATTCGCGGTTATTGGTGTTTGCTCATATCTATATGTTTTTTTTTTTTTTTTTTTTATCTCTTTCCTTTTTTCTATTGTGATTGTTGTTGCTATTTGATTCTCCTATGATTCGCGGTTATTGGTGTTTGCTCATATCTATATCAAGATTCATACTAATAAGTTATAACTGTTTCAATATCAACTTTTCAACAAAAAAAAATGCAAGATATATCTTTAATTTTACTGTTATCTAAATTGGTCAGTTATAGAATTGATCATTGGTGCTATAGGACCCGCTTTCGTTGTTCTTTCTTCTTTCCAAATCCCAAATCCCATGGCCAAAAACCTAGCTACTTCATGTTCTTGTCATTAGTGTTGCAAAATCTGAATGACTTTAAAATGGAGTTAGAGGATGTTGCATTCCCTTTTCTTAAAAGTGTTGTTGCTACAACTGATGTTGTTTAGTAATGCACTATAAGGTCAAGATATTTCTATTCTCTATTGAGGCTAGTGCAGTGGTGATGGAACTTTTATACACGGAAGATTCCGTGTTGTTGAGGAGCCTAGAAGACATGACAATTACAGTCCAGATGTTGGGCTTCATTAATTTGGACATTGTTCGATCTATAATATTTGGATTTGTTCTATTTTTCAGCTTGCAAGTTGCAACTATGTCTACAAAGTCTATCAATTTGGTAATTAAAGTCATTTTGACCATTTTTAGTCATTAATATTTCAGCTAAGGAGAGGATGACTTTGTGCTTGTTTGGTTTGTCATTTGCAAGACTCTAAACTTCAACTGCAAATTCCAAAACTGCAAATAGAGAAGTAAAATAGTAGCTGCTTTGAATTAAAAGTAGGTTGTGTTCACTTCAACTTTTTTTCAAACATATTATTATATGTATATGCATTTCTCATTTTCAAGATTTTGTGAAGCTTTTGTTTCATAAAGAAGTCTACAATGGTTATCTTTTAGGATCATGATTTGGATAAGTCTATTTGGTTATTGTTTGCTTCTGTCTTTTGATGATGGTTTCTGTAAAATGACTAAACATGGAAGCCTTGTTCAATTTACTTTTAATATATGAGTTTGTTGGCATAAATTAGACATTTTTTAGAGGAAAAAATAAATAAAACTAAAAAGTTTATTTATAGGAAACTCTTTCAATTAGTTTTTCCATTTATTAAAAAATCTAGAAAATTTTATTTTAGTTTATCTTTTTTTTTTTATTGAAGTGTTTTTAAATAGGGGTGTGCATAATTTGGTTTCTTAAAAAAAATATAGCAAATCACATTGCATCATTTTATCAAATTGAACCAGTTTATAAATCATTTAAACTATATTAATAAATTGATTTAGAATCAAATCACGTTTATAAATAGTTTTAAAATTGCTTTAGAACCGATTTCATAACCAAATCAACTTTAAACCAATTTTAAGAATTGGACAAATTTTTAAGTGATTTCTTAAGAAAAGTATAGTTTTTTTTTTCTCAAAATCATGAACAAAATTGTATTTAATGCACTCTTTAGAGACAAATTAAAAATCTTTTATAGTTAGACATTTAACCTAAAGACTAATTAAGTAGAATAAACACATTTTAAAAGGTAAAACATTGTTTATTTTATTAAAATATATTTTTAAAAGAATTTTTTTTTTACACAAATGAACCTATATAGATATCAACTCAAAAACTAATTAACTCAAGTTTATCAACAATATCAATTACATGTTTATCAAAAATATCAATTATTTTAAAAGACAAACTAATTAACTCAAGTTTAATTTTAGACTAGATTATACAAATGAGTCAATCTCAAACTTAGTGTTGTTTGAGTATGTGTATAACTATATATTCAACGAGAATGTTTTTACTCTGTTTTCTTCAACCAAGTGTTTTAAGATTTTTTTTTTTAATTTCTTATCTCTATTATTCCATCATTTTATTCTTATTTTTAAAATTAAATTTTATTTTTTAAAAATTGTCTATAATTAAAAATAATTTTATATCATAATATATTTTATTTATCATTAATTATAAATTTAAAATATAATTTATATAAAAAAATTATTATAAATTTTAATTATAAGATATTTTTATATTCAAAATAAATTTTTAATGTAAATTTGAGTTGCTCTAAAAAAATTATAAGTTTAAGTCATATAAAATAAAATAAATTATCTCATGTATTACTAGTTAAAATACTAGTTATATCCTTAAAACTAATTAAAAATTTTGATTAATATAAAAAAATCTTATAAAAAATTGGCACACAACGTCATCATGTAAAAGGTTGGATTTCAAATTCGTTTTTATTATTAAAAAAAATTGCATGAATTGACCGTTCAAGCAGTTTGTATTAAATAACATAAAATAAAATAAGACAAAAAAAATGCAAAGGCTGTTTTATTGAACTACTATATATATCCTGGCCAAAAATAAAAATTAACTATGTAAGGCAATGAAATAAAGATAGAAGCTATGATCTCGGACGCTGGCCGCCATATTTTATATTAAATGGTACATAATGTAAAAACACCTCATCATCAGTACAAAATAAATTGTTAGATTAAAAAAGAATAATATAACATATTCATTATTGTAAATGCACCACTTGCATTAAGCTATAATATTCATAATACGTCATATAGATGTAGTATATATGCCTTTTAACCTAATCCTACCAGCTATTCTATTTTAATTTTTCTTATATTTAAGCATATCTATCAACCGGATATTGATATTGATATAATGTTTAAGATAATTATAATAAAAATTAATAAATATATTTTATATTCTATTGTTGTTTTATTGGTAATACTCTATTTCTTTTGTAAGGTATTAGTAATAATAATACTCTATCCTGGTTAGTGTTGCAATTTCCTTATTATGTTACTATTATTTAATGGTTATTTTTTTTTATATTAATTGGTGCAGAAGACAAAGAAACTTAAGAGACTCATTCTCATTAAATAAATATCGTGCTTTAACTTTAAAAGAAAATATTGATTTTTTTTAGTCTTTTTATTTATTGAATTCTCTATACTAAAAGTGCTAAAAGTAATGTTAGATAACTACACCGAGAATTGAGTTTGATCATCTTAAGCAAAATTTTAAATTTTGAATTTTGAATTTTATAAATAAAAAAATATGATAAAAAGAAAGAGCTTATAAAAGGTAATGTGTTGAGTTTTTGTACGACAAAATCAATGATGGTTCACATTCTTAAACCAAATTAACTGAATAGTACCTTGATGTGAACACTGATTCCAATCTTGACAACGATGGGCCCGAAACGGGCCCAAAATAAATGGGTTAATGCAATGGATTGTTTGTAATTAATTTGTTAACAAGTATATTTATTTTACTATTTCAACTTTACTTCTCTTATTTACACTAGTTATATTGGACTCCATGCTTTTTATTTTTTTCACCTGTTTTTTCTTTGCTCTTAAAGTATGATATTTTGTTAGTGAAATTGTCTAGATACTATATTAAGTGCGTTTACTAGTTTACGATTCGAATATTATATTATCTATAACACTTTATATAATGAAGAAACAATGATTTAAATTTTAAGATGTAAAATAAGATGAAAATAATAATAATAGAAAAATGTAAAATTATATAAATAAATAGAAAATTTGTAGAAAT